ACGCACGCACGCACGCACGCACGCACGCACGCACGCACGCACGCACTCACACACACACACACACACACACACACACACACACACACACACACACACACACACACACACACACACACACGCACACACACAAGCACACACACACACACACAAACCCACACACCAACACACCCACGCACGCACGCACGCACGCACGCACACCCACCCACCCACCACCCACCCACCCACCCACCCACCCACCCACCCACCCACCCACCCACCCACCCACCACTCACCCACTCCACTCACCCACCCACCCACCCACCCACCCACCCACCCACCCACCCACCGCACGCACCCCACGCACGCACGCACGCACGCACGCACGCACGCACGCACGCACGCACGCACGCACGCACGCACGCACGCACGCACGCACGCACGCACGCACGCACGCACGCACGCACGCCCACACACACAACACACAACACACACACACACAACACACAACACACAACACACAACACACAACACACAACACACAACACACAACACACACACACAAACACACTGTGCAGGCAGGCGCACCACATTTTTTTCTGGGACACCAAATCACACAGGGTGTATTGTTGCAAGCTGCGGGTCAAAACATTGCTTGCCCTTTGACGTTGCTGGCTTCCTTTAAGCCTTTAAGCTTTCTGAGCAACCCTCTTGGTTTGCTTTGAAAACACTTTAGACGTGCTCTCAGCAACAGCTCTTGGATGGCTCCGCCCATAGCCCCCGTGCGCCTGCATTGCGCGTTTGCGCCTGGCTCGAATCAAAGAACGGACGGAACGGCCGTGATTTCCCATGAGGGAAAGGCAAACATCGTTGCACTGTGCTTTGTTCATGGAAGGGCAAAACCCACAGCACTTTCTGATTGCCCGGTTTACATGGACAACAAAGCGGCGAACTCAACATAACTTCTGGCCGCCCTGCTTTGTTTTCTGGAGGAACTGGTTGCTCGGCGATTCGCGTCCTGGAAAGAAGAGACCATAAACTGTTCACGTGTCAAATGGGCGTTTCACAAAAATCAAGAAACACTCTGCGCAGAAGGAAATAGAAACGCAAACACCCAACTCAGCAAGCCGGGCGCGTCGGCTTGCACCGCCTCTTGAGAACTGTCTTCTCTAGCGCCACTGGCTCATGCCCCACTGCCGTCATGAACTCCTCCAACACTTTGACCTAAGGCCAAGCGCCCCCACCCATGCCCACCCCCTTTTCCCCCCGGCGCTGAGGCTTATTGAAGGTGTGTTTCTCGAGGGTGCCATTGTTTTGAAGTAGCTTACAGGTTAAAAGCAAAGCCACACTTTTGAGGGGACCCGTATTTTGACACAGACCCCATTTGCCCGTTAGGCTCAGACCAAACCTTCGGGCGCCTGCCTGCAAATTAAGAGAAGAACTGGCCCTGGTCAGATGTGGTGATGAGCCAACGCCAAATCCGCGACAACTGGATGATTCAATCCCAACTTTGTGTGTGTGTGTGCTGTGTGCTGTGTGCTCTGTGTGTGTGTGTGCTCTGCGTGTGTGTGCTTGTGCGTGTGCGTGTGCGTGTGCGCGTCTGCGCATCTGCGCGTCTGCGCGTCTGTGCGTCTGTGCGTCTGGGCGTCTGGGCGTCTGGGCGTCTGTGCGTCTGCGCGTCTGCGCGTCGGCGCGTCTGCGCGTCTGCGCGCGCGTGCGTGCGTGCGTGCGCGCGTGCGTGCGTGTGTGGGTGTGCGTGGGTGTGCCAGTGTGCGTGTGACTCAGGTGTAAGTGTTGTGTGATTGATGTGTAATTTATTGCCGATGCGACAATCCCAGTACATAACCATGGGGCCTGCAGCACACGTCCAAACGGTGGTCCTACTAGCCGCAGTACAGAAACACTGTCACCCAAAAGTTCAATATGTGTTGCTTCAGCAGAAGGTCATCTCCGAGTTCTATTTCTATGGTGCGCGGGTGCGCGCCCCGTCTCTTATTCTGTTTTTGAGCGTCAGTCACCTGCCATCAAAGGGGGTTGACACTCAAAAAGGCTAAAGGCCGACAACCTGTTGCACAAATTCAATCGATACCCTTTCTCCATCGAACCGTGAAACCAACTGATTTGGGTGGCAAACAGGGGCTGTGAAAAAGTAACGATTGTTCAATATCAGACCGTTTTTGCATTCCTGGGGAAAGCGAACACTATGGCTTTTTAGCTGAGATCATGATATGTGGCTGACATAGCCCTAGCATCAAGCTGCCTACAGTTGTGTAGGTTATGAGCCATGAGCCAAACGCTGTCATGAGCCGGGCTGAGGCTCAGCAGGATCTTTTGGAGCTTCCCCAGTCATTTGAAAGAAGTGGAACACGATGGTGGTTGCCCCACTGTGGATGAGAAGGTGGGCTTGGAGCTCATCAGAAAGGTGCAGGAGAGGGAAGCTACGCTAAGATGATCACCAATGAGGAATTGGAGAATCAGGAGGCGGCTCAAGAAGGCTCAGGAGGCAGTGCTGCATCTGCCCGCTTCGCGTTCCTGATGGAGGTGGCTGTGTCAGCACCATCATCGCGGGCACAGTCTTGCGGATGAGGCACAAGCAGCCAGGGCTTCCGCTGAGAAAAAGACGGAGCGGGATTTGGGCCTGAGCTCGCCTGGAAGGTGTTCCCATGAACCAATTGGGCGCTGGGCTCAAGAAGGAGCAGCGCCTGGTGACCGGCTGGCGGATACCACAGAAAGGTGGTGGATAAGGACGCGGACACGTTATGCCGAGCGCGGACTTGGGTGGGCTTTGCAAGGGTGGATCAGTTGGTCAGGGGCGCTACATGGTGAGCGTCTACACAATCTCCGTTAATTACTTCCCAGGCATTGATGCAGAAGCCGTCGGAGAAGGAGGAGGCAGAGGGAGAAGAAGCTGAGGAAATGCTGGAACCGCACGGCGAGAAGCGGGTGACGCGCTTGGATGATGGTGACGAATTGTTAAAGAAGATTGAGGACGAGAAGTTTGAGATGAGGCAACCCATGGTGCAGATTGTGCCAAACCGGCAATAGAAGGACTTGTTCGTGGAGAACCAGGTCGTTTTAATTTAAGGGGGCGGACTTCGATGCAGCCACTATGAAGTGGAGAATAGCTGAAGTGGTGGACGACCTTCCGAACGACGCGAATCTGCGGAAGATTGGGGTGCGCCGAGTGAGACAGCCCTATGATGAACGGCGATGACGTCAAAGACCTATGAGAGTGTGGTGTGGCTGCAGCATGTTTGGAGTCTTCTTTTGGCGGTGTCCCTCCAAAAAGAGGGGGAGCCAAGAGCATGACTTGTGCGTGACGTTTAGCATCAAGCTGGCGTGTAAAGACCAGGCTGGCTGCCTATATGGTTGTGTGATACGCACTCAGTTTGTGCGAAAATATGTGTCGCCTGTTTAGCTCTGCGTCCGCAACACCCCCCACAAAGGCGAGGACCCGGCGTGGCGCTCGTGCATGCTGCGGTCAGGCGCAGCGGGTTTCACACTAAAGTTGGGGCCTTGCCAAGAGGCACAGGGCGAGATGGCCTGGCAAAGGCAACGCCAAGGGCGACTTAGGGCTGACTGGGGAGGAACTTGAAGGATGGCTCCAGCTAGCAAGCTAGCCGTCACGAGGTGTTGGGAGCCCAATTGAATTAAACAACCGGTTGATTTATAGGCTGTCCAATTTGGAGGGGGTCCAGGTTGATTCATCTGCGGTCCACATCAAGGTGCAACCATGGTCACCATTGGAACAGCAGGGGTTTTTCACAAGGCAAACACATACGTAGTTGCAACCTTCTAAGTAGGATATGCATACAAGCCGGCTGGTGCTCGTGGACCAAAACCAACCAATGAATCCGGCGGATCCGTGCGGTTTGAAGACCAAGTCAACAATAGAAGAGCTTCTCCCCCAAATTTAAATCTCGGTGACAGCCAAGTTGATGTCAATGGCAAGTGCCGCGGCTGAGGTCGAGAGAACCGTGCCGTGGTCAAAAACCTTTGGACGAATACTCATATTGGAAGTGTGTCAAGACCAAGAACCCTCGACTTGGTTGGTTTCAGATCGGGCCCTCTTGTTACGGCACATGTTCTTTTTCAGCGACATCAACAGGTCCATGCGCCAGCTCTGTGCAGAGTCGGGAGAATTCCATCTTTTTGCATACTTCATTCCATGAACTGGCAATGAGGAATACAGCAGTAAGGAGCCTCCTCGTGTTTCACTGTATCCCCAGGCTCGGTCCTGTCCCAGCTGGCTCTTTAAACATGGGTGCTGTTGAAGTTCAACGAGCCCGAGTTTCGTGGCCTTTCGTCGCATTTGTCCACATCCTTTCAATTTCCAGGCTCGGGGTGCGGTTTTGCTCCTTGACACTTTCCGGAGGATTTTGGCTGCTTCCCAAAGATCAAGTGCCATTACTTTAGCCAAGTGATGCCACACATCCGGATCTCACCCGGTCAGGTATTTGCCCATCGCTCAGCCTCTCGATTCGATGGGGATGTGAAACCTTGAAATTGGAGCATGGGTGCGGGGACGAGGGCTCTTCACACAGGGTCTAGGGGACGCTGATGTCTGATGCTCTGCGGGCACAGCGCAGCTGTTGCGGGGCGCTGCTCTTGAATTCAAGGAACGCCTTCTAGCTCTCACTTCCAACCCAAGGATGTGGACTTGAAAGGCTGTTAGGTTGCCATAACAAAATTTGACGCACCCCACGAAACACAGCAGCGTGAACACTGTGGCCTTCTTTAAACCATGTCTTCCCAGGGTTTGCAAACAGCTCAAGCAACTGGATTTGGAGCAGTAAGAAACGACATGTCTCCACCGGGCAAGACGTGGCCCCCCTACATTGTTTGGCCCTCTGAGGTTACTCCTGCTCCATTTGATGCACTGAAGGAAGCCTAAGAAATGCTGCCAGTCGAGGAGCCTCCCCGTTTTCCGCTTTCCCTTTCATACCAACGGGCGCCCTCAGAACCGCGCCTCCTCTCCAACTCCGTGGCCTCCTGCCATCGGAACCTGAAGAAATCCGGCCGGAGTTGGGGTCGCAACGGGAGCTTCTCGAAATGGCTTTCCACACAATCTGTTCGCATTCAAGGGAAACCGAAAGGAAACCACACATCTTAGGGGGCCCATATTTTGAGAAACGCCTGCATTGTGGGTTGATCTCCCGAAATCTGTGAGAAATATGGGCCATTCCCGTAAATACTGGCATGCAAGTCCCCAAGAGATCAAAGCCTTCAAGCCCAACCTTCCACAACCATGCGCTGGCAACCCACAAATGGCAGCTTCCCTTCTGTTCGCTGAAGAGAGCAGAACATCCCAACAAGGGTGCTCTCAAAACAACTCGCACCCATGCTGCCCTGTAAAACGTCTTCCTTTTGCCAGTGGGGGAGCCGTTGCTTGCAGATGAAACAGATGGTTCCGGTCAGTCTGCAAATTGCCCCTTTGACGGATCTCCTGCTGACATACAACTCCTAATGAACTGGACATAAGGGCGCATTAAAAGGGACCTGGGCTGCTAAAAAATCCTTCACGCAGCAACCAACAAGGGAATCCCTCATTTCAGGGTGCTCGCCCCACATTTCAGAGGCTTACCTTGTGCTGTGGATCTTGACAAGGCGGTCACAAGTGGTTGAAGGTCCGATTTGTTCGCGTCAGTTTCACCAACGGAGGTGCTTCAAACCAAACGCATCCTCTCGACCCAGAAACAACCATCCCCCCTAGAGGAAATCAACCATTGGGCAAGTTGATACTAAAATTTAAGATCGCAGGAAAATGGGCAGGCGTATTGGGACCTGTGGGGCCACCAGAGTCCTAAGAGAACCAGCCGGTCAAACCTGAGCCAACCATTACGGCAACACAGAGAATACGAAGAGTGGCTGTCTCCCAAGTAAATGGAACTTGAACTAATTAACCTTTTGTTGGTGCTGTCAGGATTCCCAAAGCTCTTGAACGGTGAAAACAGTTGGAGGAGTAAGGAGAAAGAAGCAATGCCGAAAGCTTGCAAGCAAACCTCCAACACTTTCACAAAACAAGGAATCGGTCCCTGCAAGCGGTTGGCCTACAAACCCAAAAAAAGGCGCCCCGCGCTAAGACAATCCAAGGCAACCAAAGGACTGCCAAGATTATGGCTAAGATAGGAGGAAACTAGTACGGTGTTGCCACTTAAACACCGGGACACTTGAATAGGTCAACAAAGAGTTTACACTACCTCCGCCAGCGTTACCGCCAGCCCGGTCGACCAATTTAAATTCCCGATTTAGATAGGTATTTTGCCTTACGTCTTGAAAGCCTGCCTCTGGCCCGGCCCGCCTCCTTCAACATCCGGGCGTTCCGGAAATAAAAAAAGGCGAAGGAAGGCAAAGTCAGTGCCCATGTAGCAGTGGTGTTACTGTTACATGGGCTCGCGCGTTACAGTTTACACGCAGCTGTGTTTCCGCGAAGCCTCCGCGAAGCCTCTGCGAAGCCTCCACAAAGCCACCACGGACCAACCACCATGCTTCACCCACTTCGAAATTTTGAAGGGCCCACGCCTGGAGGCCCAAGTCGTTCTTGTCAATTTGCTTGCCGTTTGTTGCCAAATACATCTTCCGCAACCATTCGGTTGTTCTGGGATTTGTTGAAAAACAGGCCCCATCCCAAGAAACCAGGAGATTCAAGAATTTAAGGAATCTGGGCAGGGCTGTGGGGAATGACCACTTCTGTGATACATGGAAAGGGCTTCCCAAAGACTATTTTGTTCATTTAAAAGAAGTGGGGAGAAACCCCTTGATCCCACAACACTGAATCTGGGAGTCCGGGAAAAAGTGTATTCGTATCTTTCTTGCTTTCTTTCTCCACGAGCCGCTGCGCTGCAATACTGGCGCCAGGGGTTCAGGGCAGGGTTTTGCGAAAATGAGATGGTCCTTTTGCAGGGGTCTGACACAGGTCTGACACAGGGCCCAATGCCAGATCCAGGCATTATCTCTCTCTCTCTCGCGCTCTCTCTTGCTTCTCTTTCTTCTCTTCCAAGTCTTTTCATTCTGGGATTTGTTGGAAAAACAGGCCCCGTCGCAAGACGCCAGGAGCTTCAAGAATTCAAGGAAATCTGGGAGCCAAGTCCGAGACAAGGGGCGTTCATGTCTTTCTTGCTTTCTTTCTCCAAGAGGCACGTAGACAGGGCTTAAAGCTCAATTCAGCGAACTTAGCTCCGCAAATCAATGGCATCGGTGGTGCACCGACATGGTGTCTTAGGTTGGACCTTTGTGCAATCTGACCTGGCTTGGCAGAAGCTAGTGCAACGTTTGTGTTTACGGGGAAGGGGTCTGTCTCGGCGCTGCCATTTAAATATCCGAGTCTATACTTCATACTACCTCCAGGGCCCGTGAGGGTGGCCCGGCCAACCACTTTAAATATCCGAATTATACAGATGTCTTACACTATTTCCCAGCCCTGAAGCCCTGGCCCGGCATTGATAAGTTGTCACCGTACTACTTGTCTAGTGTCAGGCTCTTTTACGGCTATGACTCTTCTTTGGAAGCCACCTCAGCCATATTTCGACGTGGTATTTAGGCCTCCCTCTTGCAGGACCTGGGTTGAACCGCCCTCCGCCTGAGAGAATGCTCGCACGATTGGCTCGACCTAGGGAAGGGCCAGGCTCCCATGTGATGGAACATTTTCGTCGAACAATGTATATAAACCGAAAAGTAAAAAGCACAACTCGCACAAAGGCTGTGGCCCTGGAACTATCATAAAGGTCACCATAGTTTGTCCAATGAGCAACCAACCTCCCGCATGAGAATGGCAAACAAGAACAAGCTACGAAAATTCCAAACACATGGCCAAGAGGAGAACTTAAGAACCAGCCCGCAGCTTCTGATCAAGCCAAAGCGACCAGGCGCTCTGTTGTGATCATCTATCTATCAGGTGGACTACTCTCCTCGTAACATCATGGAAGCCAACCAGCCCTCATTCTTACACCAGCATCGCTCTGATGATCTTTTGTTTGTTCCACGTGAAATTGAGCCGCGAAGAAAAGGCGAACGTGCCCCTTTAGAGCGCGGCATCTTCCCAAACTTGGAAGGTCTTCCGCTCCTTGGACTTTCGCCCAGCCCCATTTCTTTTTGTTTGCCTAGCCCCTTTCACGCCTCGCCGTGCAATGTTTGGCCCAACGTCTTCACCCCCCAGCCCCAGCCCAAGAACCTTCTTGCGCCCAATCGTCTGAGGCTTCGCCCAGGCAGCGGTTTGGCTGCCTGTCGCTGCGGCTGATGCTGCGCTGCCGATTGCGCAGAGCTTCACCTATCCGCCTCAGCCTCAAGCCCTTTCGCCCCTTGGGGCAAGCCACGTTGCGGAGGTTGGTGCGTACCCACGCTTCCGGGCTTAGCCCCCCTCAGCTCTTGGGCCTCAATCCCTTGAGCCACGCTCGCGCGTAGCGCCCCCGTGCTTCTTCAAGCAACATCAAGCACGTGAAGACTAAGAGCTAGAAACGTGTGAGCATGCGCTCACTGTACATCTTGGAAGCCAGCTCACGCATCTCGGCGCCGACTCACTCACTCAATAAACACGGCACTTTAACAAACACAGAGCCCAGCAAAGCTAACCAAACTCATCCAGTTAATACTGGGCGAGGCGGGTAGCGCGAAGCGTTTGCAACTCACCCAGACAACGAGTACGTTGAATGGCACTTGAAAGGAACGCTGGGCAAGAAGAGCAGCAAACCACCTTCAAGAACTTGACCCGCGCATCCATACTGGAGGCGCTCCAAACATGGACCAAAATTCAACGGTCACAGATTTCTTGAGGGTCCATCCCATAAGCCAAAGCTTGCAAAGCTTGCTAAGCTTGATTAGGTTGCCAGGGATACCAAGGGCGTCAAAAACAACTTCTATAAACCTTCAAGGTTCCATCAGCACATGCCGAGATTCGTCCAAAATTCGCCCTGCATGACCGGCACGGGCCTGCGAGCCTGCCCTGAACTGATTCATTTTCTGTTTGTGATGGACTCTCAGGAACACCGCACCCGCTTTCCGTCTCAACGCCGGTCTTGCGAAGAACTAGGCCCGGACCACTCGAGTGTTGCTGCAAGTCCCAATCACGGATCGACGACCAACCCCACAGAGAAGCGCACGAATCAAGATCATCAAAAAAGCCCAAACGGCTCTCAATGCAGGCGTCATCCGCAAGCGCCAGTGCAAGGGATTCTCGCAAACGTCTTGCTCGATGCAAGTCTCTGCGCAATGATGATGTTGGAAACCACGTTGTGGAATCCACATGTAAGACTGAAAGCAAAATTATTGAATCTGAAAACCAAGAAACATATGCTATGTTTTCTTTTGGCATGGCTGGATTTTGCCGAGTGGTTTTCTCCAGTTCTGAAAACTCTGATAATTCCAAGTCTTGAAACATGTGAAGACATTTCCAAACGAGATGTGTGCACTTGCAATGTGCCATCATCAATCATGAAACACGTGCAAGTGCTTGCCCGCGGCAAGTTCTATGTTTTGCATCTCCGGAAGCTACGTAGAGAATTCATTGGGGGACCGTCTTAGGCCATTTGACATCGAGAGAGCTCCTAGAGAAAACCACAAATCTGGAAATTCCAGAGAAAAAGCCAGACACCGCTTCACTGCTAGCCAGTTTCTCTTTCTTCCTTTTTGTGTTTCTTCTGGTTTTCTTTTCTCTCTAATTAGCATGCTTACTTGCTTGCCTTCTTTCATTGATCTCATCCTCTCTTTTTGATATGTTTATCTGTTTCGTGGTAGTTTTTGCTTTGCTTGAGTCATTGCTTCTTCTTGTCTTACTTGGTTGTCTCTTTGTTTATGTCCTACTGTTTCGCTTGCTAGATTCTTTACTTTTTGGACCGCGTCCGCGAGTCTCGCATTCTGGCTTCGAACTGAGCCACACGCCACACTCAAGAACGTGGGACCACCTTTCTGTCGACACATCTTCCTGCTTTCTGTATATGTATGTGTGTATGTATGTATGTATGTATGTATGTATGTATTTATGTATGTATGTATGTATGTATGTATGTATGTATGTATGTATGTATGTATGTATGTCAGTATGTATGTAAGTATGTATGTACGTATGTATGTGTGTGTATGTATGCATGTATGTATGTAAGTATGCATGTATGTATGTGAGTATGTATGTATGTATGTATGTAAGTATGTATGTATGTATGTATGTATGTATGCATGTATGTATGTATGTGTGTGTATGTATGTCTGTATTTATCTATCTATCTATCTATGTATGTGTGTATGTATGTATGTCTGTATTTATCTATCTATCTATCTATCTATCTATGTATGTGTGTATGTATGTATGTATGTATGTATGTATGTATGTATGTATGTATGTATGTATGTATGTATGTATGTGTGTAGTATGCGTGTCTGTGTCTGTGCGTATGTATGTATGTATGTATGTACATATGTATGTGTTTATGTATGTATGTATGTATGTATTTATGTATGTATGTATGTATGTATGTATGTATGTATGTGTATGTATGTCTGTATTCATCTATCTATCTATCTATCTATCTATGTATGTGTGTATGTATGTATGTATGTATGCATGTATGTATGTATGTATGTATGTATGTATGTATGTATGTATGTATGTATGCGTGTCTGTGTCCGTGCGTATGTATGTATGTATGTATGTATGTATGTATGTATGTATGTATGTGTGTAGTATGCGTGTCTGTGTCTGTGCGTATGTATGTATGTATGTATGTACGTATGTATGTGTTTATGTATGTATGTATGTATGTATGTATGTATGTGTTTGTGTATGTATGTATGTATGTATGTATGACTGAGTGAGTGAGTGAGTGAGCAAGTGAGTGAGTGAGTGAGTGAAATAACGAAAAACATGAAAGATGATTGTGTAGCCGAGTATATGCATGTATATATATATATATGCATATGTATATGCATATATATATATATTGATCTATCTATGTGTATATATATATACATATATATATATATAACATATATATATATATATATGTGAGCTCGAGGTGGTTGTGTCCACATATGTATATATATATATATATGTCAACTTCCGTTCTTTCAGGGATCCTGCTTTGCAGAAAGCCAACCTTTGAGGAAAAGGATGGGTTTTCCAAATGGCGATGGCTGAAAATTGGGAATCAACACCTATGATATACATACGTGTACATATTATATGTATATGAATATGTATAAAGATACAAGAACTGCAATTTCATACAATAATGCCACTATCAACCTTAACCATCGAATCGGCAAAAGAATCAAGTCCTCCTTCAAAATAGCCGCTCCGCTCAAAGAACAATTGTAACAAAGTCTATCCCGCATAAGTCCGATGGCAGGACACAACAACAAACCATATTTCGAAAGCAAGGTTCATAGAGTTCCCACTCTTCCATGGCATGATTCTTTTTTTTGTTTGTACTTATGCATACTTGTCATTGTGTATCAATAATTGCTATCTGTAAGAATTAAGTATTAACTTATTGCATGAATATCTATATTGTATTTGCATATGTCAAATTATAATCTGGAATCATATAAGTCTGACAAAGATCGACCTTTCTAGACTCTAAACATATGCCAACGTCCGCATGTATCAGTCCATCTGCCAAACTCTAAAATCCATTCACATCTGCCAGCATCCCGAAATTAAAGAAGTAAGATTGAAGACTCCCAGAGAAATGCGTTGTGAATCTTTAGACATCAATCTTCAATCCATGACGTGCTGGCACATGCTAGCAGATCATGTTAGCACATCCTGTTGGCACATCCTGCACTGAAGGTTTCCAGTAAACTGTCCTGACACTCTTCAATGTCCAATCTTGCATCCAGCATGTGCCAGCATGTGCTAGCACATGTTGTTGATTGGAGATTCCCAGGGACATGTTCTGGTAATCTTCAACCTTCAATCCACAACGTTCTAACATATCTTAGCACTACGCAAATCTTAACACTCAGGAGTTGGCCCACATAGAACTCAAGATGCAGGGATTGCGGTAGAACAAAAGCACATGGCGTTGAGTACAAACATGGGATTGAAGATTCCAACCATATCTTTACTGGCATTTTCAATCTTGCTTGTTCAATCCCAGGACTTATACTGTTAATGCCCCGACATGAAGTTGGCTGATGTGAATTATTTTAGACTTTGGCAGATGGACCAATACATATGGATCTTGCCATATGTTCACAGTCCAATAAAAGTAGAACTTCTCTGCCATCTGCTTTCTTTCTCAAAGCAAGCCCGTCGAAGTGTATGCAACACATCACGGTCGGAGTCATTTGCTTTTTTGTTCTCCCGCACGTCTTTTTTCGGCACAGCACTGAAGCCGTGCTTCTGAAGCCAATGCAGCTCGCTCGCACGGACGGAGTAGCTTTCAACCTGAGGGCGTTCCACCAGCACCAGCTTTGGGCACAGATGTCCGATTTTCAGGTCGCATGCCTAGCAGGACTCCCATTGGGTCCTTTGAAGTGGAATTCGAAGCCTCCCGTTGGTCCGAATCTACTCAAGTAGGCTTCCTGAACACGAAACGCCCGCTAGTTGAGCAGGAAGATGAACGAAGCTTCGTGATGGGCCTCTTTGCATCGCCTGCAAACATGAACAGCCCAATTCGGGAACATGTTTTTTCAGGCTCAGTATCCTTTGAGGGGTGCGTAAAAGGGAAGCCATCCATTGGCGGAGGTTCCATTCAGACAGTTCCATTGCTCTGTCCATGCGCCCGGCCTTGAAAGGATTCGCACTTCGACACTTTGGAGTGGAATTAATGGGGTCCAACCCCCACCCCAAGGAAAGCGTAAGCTTTCGCTTTCCACATGATTGTCCGCGGCAGGACATCGACATTTTGGGTGTGGGGATGTGCCACTCACATACCCCAAATGCACTTGCAAAAAGCAAAGCTCGTGAGGTGGTTGCAGCTGTTGTTGGCACTCACATATCCATGATGCTCATCGCAACCAGCCTTGACACATCTGGTTTTCGTCCGAAAGTGGATTTGGGGTATGCGAGCGAAGACCCAGGACCATGGTCAAGACTCAGATTGCCACCGAACAACATCTAACAAAACACATCGACACCACCACCACCATCATCAACAACAAACCTGGCGGGATGTACAAATGGCCTCTGTTTCTCTCTTTTGTTCCCTCTGTTTATCTGCAAGGATAGTAGGTTCAATGTCGTCCATAAGTCTCATTTAACCCTTCTTTCGGGGTCACAAAGGTCGACCCATCGAGTTTCCACGAACCAATGAACACAAAACACCAGCATTGTTTCCTTCCAACCCCTGGCATGTTGGAAAAAACTTTGTCTTTGCAACCCGCCATGCAAAATGAACAGAACCACAACACAACAACTAAGCAAGAACATTGAGGGTTCCATCAACATTGAAGGGTGGCCGGTTAAAGGGAAGCAGCACCGTTTCCGAATTCAAAATAAATAAAAGAAAAACACAACAAAAACAAACAACCATCGACATAACGACCGCAACATTTGGTTGACCCCAGATGTGCTCTAACAAATCGGTTCCTTCGCATGCTACACACATGAATACCCTTTGGTACAAGCGGTTGGAACCCGTGAAACTAGAACCCGGCAAATCGACTCGCTGAATCGCAAAAGCATTCCATGCGTCTCTTGACCATGGCTCAAAGGTTTGCAGCGGCTGCGCGTCCCTCAGGGAAGCGCATCGGCCTGGCAAGCGGCAACTTGGGCAACCCGCAAGCAGGCTGAAACTCAAACCCCACTCCGAGAAGAGGAATGTTTGAAAATAAGTAGCGTGGAACCCCAGCCTCCGCAGTTCCCAGGGTGCTCCTTTTGAGACGTTATTTGAGACAAGTTCGTCAAACATCCAAGGACAAACCTTTTTCAATGAGGTAGTGAGTCATGGTCCTTGACAACCAGTAGAACCGGCAAAGCCGGTTGGCGGAAGTTTCAAACCTGTCAGAGCTACAGTTCTCCTTCTCCTTCTTACTTTTTCTCTTTCTTTCTGTCTCTGTTTCCGTCTCTGCTTATTTCTCGTAATTCGTGTTGTTTCTCTTTTCTTTGTCTTTTCTTTCTCACTCTCTTCTCTTTCTTTTCCTTCTCTCAGTCTCTTTCTCCTCTTGTTCGTGCCTGTATGCCTGTCTGTGAGGAAAATGCTTCGCGCACATCACATATTTATCTTTCTCCTTTTGTTTTCTCACTCACTTGTTCTACCTAGCCAAGCAAGCAAGCCACTAAGCAAGCCACTAAGCAAGCCACTAAGCTTGCAAACAAGCAAGCAAGCAAGCAAGCAAGCAAGCAAGCAAGCAAGCAAGCAAGCAAGCAAGCAAGCAAGCAAGCAAGCAAGCAAGCAAGCAAGCAAGCACGCAGAAAAACACGCAACCAACCAGCCAACTAGCCAAAACAAACCAAAACACCCAACCGAACCAGCCCCACCAAACCAAACCTGACAAAACCACAACCAACCAATCAGCCCATCAGCCAGCCGGCCAGCCAGCCAACTCTCTGCCCTTGTCGGTTCAACCGGCCGAGCCAGTGGTAAGCAAACAAACACACATTCCAGCAAAAGAACATTCCATCACAAGAAAAACAGCACATGAGCAGTCTTGGCAAAAACTGGGGATGTTCCGCGTGGCACTGCGTCAAACCTTAGCCCCCTGGTCGGCTTGGACCAGACTGTGCGACTTGAGCGCTTGTGTGATCAGTGATGGAAGGCCATCCAAACGGAGATCCTTTGGTGTCTCAGACCCATTCCTACAAAGTGCTGGCCAATTCATCACAGTAGTACGCTCCTACAAAAAATGAACCGAAGAAACCCGAAAAAGGATCCTAGAGGCATATGGTTCCATCGGGCTTGGTCCACGTGGGTCTTACGCCCTTCGACTTGTGTTTCAAGGGAGCGCTGGAGTCCCAGGCGCAGAACCACTGTCCATTCCCTAGGGTGCCGAGACCCTGCCCGGTTTTTCCACAAACGGAGAACACGCCCTTTTGAAGTTGGACCCCTCCCAAAAAATAAATCGACAGATCGGTAAATATTTTTAATGAGCTGACAGTTGTTCGACAAGTTTGTCACATGGAGCTCCGGGGTGTCTCGAGACTCCGCCGGCCTCAAGCGCGCCTCCAGGGCCTCAGCTTTGGGGGAACGTGGGTGGGTGGGGTGGGGAGTAAGGTGACCTGGAGAATTTGAACTCCAAGACCCCAAGAATGTTTTTTTGGCAATTTGAAATTTGAGTGAACGGAAAGCAGCGACTTCAAGGGTTAGCCAAGGATTCAGCAAGATGGCATGAAGCAACCATCCTCCTGCAGGGCTCCTGAATTTGCCGAAGAGGTTCTCTTGAGCCCCTGGATTTGCAACTTCCACAGGAAGCTCAATGAAACCTGGAAATTCAACGGGTTCCATGATGGGGAATGTACCAGTTTCCGGAAACAACCCATGTTGAAGCTCATGAAGACTTGACGATGAACAATGGCTTGGTTCCTTTCGCCTAAGTGAGTAAGTCCTGTGCTTCCAGGTTGGTCAAGTCATCTCCTGGCACTTGACTTGTTAGGGAGGAAACCACAGGCACTCCCCCTGCCCCGCGCTCCTAGCAAAAACTCTTAGGAGCCTCTCGTCGAGGTGAAAAAGAACTAGCAGCTATAAAGGCGAAGTCTATCGGGAACGATACTCCAGCAATATTGCTGGTGACTGGCTGCTTTCCCAAAAACCAAACGCACATCTCTACGGGTTCACCCCTAAGCCTTTGAGGACCCTCTCAGGCTTTGAGCAAAACAGTGCAGCCAGTTGCTTGCTTTCTTCTTTATCGCGAAGGGTTCTTCGGGAAAAACGGTTGCCAGCTACACAGCTGACTTACGCAGCATGATTGACACAGCCTGACTTTCCTAGCTTACGCAGCCTGACTCACGTAGCCTGATTTACGGAGCCTGACTTACGCAGCCTGACTTACGCAGCCTCGCTTCACTTGCGCAGCCAAGCTCACGCAGCCGAAGCTCGCAGCCTGTAATTCTATCTTCTTGCTTAGCCGGGGGTGGGTCTGGCAGGCGCTCGGGGATGAACCCTCTGTGGGGATCGTGCGTGTCGGAGCGCTTTTTTGTGGCGCCGTGCGAATGTTCTACGTGGCCCGCGAACCCTCTGCGGAGATTGTGCGTGTCGAGTCGCTCTCGCTGTGACGCCGTGCGAATTTTCTACGTGGCCTGCGAAACCTCTGCGGAGATTGTGCGTGTCGAATCGCTCTCTCTCTCTCTCTCTCTCTCTCTTTCTCTTTCTCTTTCTCTTTCTCTCTCTCTCTGTGTGGCGCCGTGCGAGTCTCAAAGCTTGCCGACGCACCCTCTGCGGAGATTGTGCGTGTCGGATCACTCTCGCTGTGGCGCCCTAAGAATCTCAAAGCCCTCTGCGGAGATTGTGCGTGTCGGATCGCTCTCGCTGTGGCGCAACTTCGCCGACGAACCTACGTCGCCGACGAACCCTCTGCAGAGATTGCGCGTGTCGGGTCGCTCTCGCTGTTGCGCCGTGCAAATTTTCAACTTGGCCGACGAGCCCTCTGCGGAGATTGTGCGTGTCGGATCGCTCTCGCTGTGGTTTTCGTAAAATTTAATGCTGACCCAGGATTAATAAACCCCCCCTATTAAAGCGCCGGTTTTCCTTGAAAATATCTCGCCAATACTCGTTTTAATTGAAACCCTGGCACCCCCACAATTACAAAGCTTTTCCCCCCGAAGCCCCCCTATTAAAGCTCCCCTCCCCCAAACCAATATAATTTCAACTTGCCCAACTTTTGCACATGCAACAGCAGCACCCCCCCCATTACTAAAGCCAGCACCCCCTATTAATCTACCCCAAGGAAAAGTTGGTGCCCCTGAAGGCCCCCGGCAGATTGCACAGCTGCGACCAGAACCTGCAGGGGTCGGCTGCGGCATCGTGCACTGTATATTCCTTTGGGTCAGCTTGGTGACACATGGACCTAGGCAAGTCAATTTGGTCTGTGGAATCTATGCCTATGTTTCCAAAAGGACACCTAGGGTCCTTTTCAGGGCGAGCCGGAAAAACATTTGGAGGCATGTCCTTTTGGACAAACACATGGCCCAATGATGAAGGCCAGACTAAAACCAGTGCCCTTGATTTGCAACCAATCACCTAGGACACCTATATTGGGAGCGTTCTTTAATTTTGGCACATTGAGTGTTCATTTTGGCATCTTCCTGGGGCAGGTCCCAACCCTCCCCGTTGATCGATCTGGTGTGGCAGCTTGGGCTCGGGAAGCGGTGTGCTGCGTGGGTCTGGCAAAGTCGAGCAACCCGTAGCTCCCTTCGGCTCCCTTCGGCTCCCTTCGGCTCCCTTCGGCTCCCTTCGGCTCTTCGAAAAACATGCAACAATGGGCCCTTTTGCACCCAGCCAGCGCCACGCCTTGCCCAAAGGGCTTTTGAAGTGCAAGTTCCTAATTATTCCGGGAAGCACCAACCAAGGATGTCTCAATGCGGCCTGACGAGCCTCCAACATTTGTCGAAGATAGGCTTGTCTTACGCCGCCCCGTGGTTTTCCCTCAGCTCCCCCTATGAACATGCCAAAAGGGTACCGTCAAAAAGCGGCATGCCATCCAAAAATTCAGGCACAAAGGAAGCCCGGCAAAGCAGCCGGGAAACGGAAGAGTATGTCCTGGCCAGGAGGCATCTCATGTTCCCGACGCGCCTGAAGAACAGCTTCATCGTAAGGCAGCCGGCCTGCACAGTTTGGTGTGACTACAAAAGCCACATGAACCGTGCCCAAATTTCATTGACCTGTGGTTCGACCAAGGTTGTAAGTGATAACATTTCAGGCCTTACTACAACCATTATGGGTTGCGTTCATGGCAAATCTTGCCATGGTTGTCTAAGGTCCCTATTGCAGGATCTACGCCGCACGCCCACCCGTTTACTCCAAGTTATCAGCTCTTTTAACATTGATACATACACGCAAACAACACAGCGGAGTCCGCAAGAGGAGGAATAAACCCTGTGGGGGTTAACAAGAAAGCAAAGACAGCGCTGGCTCTCAGGCCCAAAAGCACCGATCCATGAAGTGGGGCCCGGTGTTCCCAGAAATCGCACCTCGTATATTCTACCAAACGAGACATGCTCCGAAACCCCAAATTGGCCGTGTGGGTCGGCGAAGCGACAATCTCAACCAACTGAAGCAAGGTTGACCTTTTGGGCTGCCAGAACTATACCATGCACCGACCTTTTGCAACAAAAGATCAGTAGCAAAAGGGCTACACTTGGCCAAAACGAAAGGAACCATGAGAGGATTTGCCACAGGAAACATACATTTTACTGGGTATTAAATGTTGATTTGCTCTGGTTACCTTTGGGGTTGGCAAACAAAAGGCCACCTTCCCCCTCTCGAACAGCACAGGAGGCATGGTTTGGTTGCTCAGAAAGAACATGGCGAACCGTGGGCTGCTCAGGGAACGCACAGGTCCGATGTTGGAAATGTTTGGGATGGGAAACAACTGTCCAATGAGTCCAATGCCATACTTTGTTGTCATTTGTTTGGCCTCTTCAATTTAACACCAGGGGTCCGCTCATTTGTTTGCCGCGAGGTCTGGAGGATGATAGATGGATGCGGCTGAAACAACACCGCTCACATTCAGGACGTTACTTTAGCATGCGAGTAAGGAGTGTGGTGGGTGAGCTCGGCTTATCCATGTTGGGTGTTTCTTTAAACCTTACTCCAAGAGGCATTCCACTTTCAGTTTGCCTTTCCCAGAACAAAGTGATGCTTGAAGCAGTTCTGGGTTGAGCCCAGAGTGGACACTAGAGTCCTGATAATCTTGAGTATTGAAACCAGACATGCTTTGCAGCGCTTGGCGAACATGAACGGACGAAATAAATGCTCATATTTGGGAGTTTTCAGACACTGGTGAACATGAGCCAGCAGTACCGCGCATACCGACAAAATCTGTCTGAGTGTAGTCAAGCGCGAATGGCTTTCTTCTACCGAACCCTCGAACACTGCTGGATATCTTCAACATTCTGCTTTTGCCATTGACAGCATTTCCAAGTTCATCGAAGTGTTGGCACCTGTCAGCCAACAAAGGGCACCTCTTCACAGGTGCAACGCATGGTGTCAATATCAATGCCGCTCAGTTCGAGACTCTAGCGCCCTAAACCGCAAGAAAGCATTTCAAGATTCAAGCTTCGAGCTTCTCAAGACTCTTTTGAGTCTTGAACCCAAGTCTCGTGACATCAAAGCAAAACTTTCAGATCGAGCTGTTTGCAGGATTGAAACATCAACTGGAGGAGTGTTTGTCGTGCATTCCACGAAACTTCCCCGAGGTTTTGGCGGAAAAAAGGGCCGCACTCGAGGCGTTGTTTTGTTTAATTGTCCCAATTTTCGCATGAACAAAACACCTTTCCAGGGAGGAATATGGGTCTGTGGTTTTCTGAGTGTACCCATTTGTGTCTAGTTTGAAAAGGAAACCAAAGGGACACCAACCATTTTCGGGAGTCCGACTCCTCGAAAAAGACGCACCCACAGCCATGGTTCAGGCGCTCCGCGTCGCCCGACTGGCCTCGGATGGCCTCAGTTGGCTCAGAGGCGCTCGTTAAGCATCGACGCATTCAGCAAAGCGTCACTTCATGAACCCACGGCAGAGTCCCTGGCATGAACCCTTGTTAGGGCCGGCGGCCCTGAACAGTCAAGCGATTCTTGATGAAAGCAGGCATCATCAAAACTCCGTAATACTTGACTCCGATTCACACAACCTGGATAACGACAGTCCCCTTTGCAGCCCTACCGTCCATTTTAGAGGCACCCAGGTTTGGCCAAACAACCTGCAACTCACTCCAGTTGGATACCCAAAGCCCGGGTTGAAGATGCTGTTTTCTGCACTAGTTGTGGCGCCACAAGAAGGGAAATCAATACCATCTGGCAGCACAAATTGCAGTGGTCCAACATCCACCTGACTCTCATGGATGTGTCCAGCCCCACACGGGACATTTGAGAACACCTCTGCCAAAAGCTTCCTGGGATTGATCTTGAACCCAGTCTCTGGTCGAACCACAAATTTCTGCACTCCAAGCGGCACTGGCGGCGGGGGGTCTTCCGGAGGCGCATCTTCCTGGCGGCTGCACACAAACACGGGCCCAGTGGATGTCACGTTCTCAGGACATATGCACATGTGTATATACATATATATATATATATATTACATATATTACATATATTACATATATTACTAGTACGCACCTCCCTCAAAGCCGGCGCTGGCTGCTTACGCAAGGGAAGTCAGGTCATTATGCAACCAGAAGTGCGCTCATCTCACACTGTTGGCCGACTTGCGCAGATACTTCATTCAGACTGCCACCCCTTTCTTGCAGGTTGTCTGTGGCATTCTTCCCCCTTGGTCATTGTTCAATCATTTCATACATGCTTTGGCGACGAACTCATCCTAAAAATCTATTTCAGCACACCTTAATTTGGACATAGCCTCAGAAGCAAAGTTAGGCAAAGTGTAGAAGCAAAGTTAAGCAAAGTGTAATTATGCACAGGGTCTAAACTATCATTTTCTGAAGCTTTCAAACACATTGATATCCGTGAATAAAACATCAGGTTTCACACAAGAATTGTGCTGATCTCTCATACCCGTTAAAGTGTCTTTATATTAAATTTGCTTTGCCATAGTCTGCAACACTAATGTTATCCTCGCTCAATCGACAGTAGCACATCTCTGTAAGGGTAGCGGCGCAAGATAATCAAACATAAAGCACACCATACCTCTTCTGCTTGGTGTGCACCTTATTGTCCTTTTGGACTTGTGCGCGGCAAACACAGTTGATAGTTCAGCGTTTGGACCTTGGACATTCAATTCTTTGGAACATGACTCAACAAAATCCAGACTACCCCTAGGTTCTGATACAACAACACCGTACCTGCTCATGTTTTGGATTTTATTAGCAGGTTGTGTGCAGAATCGATTCCGTCAGGGGAAACGAGTTGTTTTTGCCGACAGCTTGGCATTGGCCAAGGCATGCAAGATGTGAGCCGATGTTTTGGCATTGGCCAAGGTTTGTGAGCTGACGGGCGAATGGGGTGCGCAAATGAGTTGAGATCAGAGATGGACGTTACGTATGAATTTATTGGTACTCCCACGGGTTTGTAAGTTAACAGACGAAGACAATTTGCACATGAGTCGAGATGCGAAAACAAGGATGCCAAACAGGAACGACTAAAAGCAAACGCTTTAAAGCACATTCAAGCACTTTTTGATCTATTATTTGAGACTTTCAAGACTTTCAGGACTGTAGATCTCAAGTTTTGAAACCAGTATGGGGCCCCTAAAACGCTTTAAACCACTTTTGGATCTAAGATGCAAGACTTCAGATTCCCAGGACTCTAGATCCTCGTTTTCGGTTCAGGGTAAAACCAGAACTGACAAAGTGACAATCAATGTACATAACACGAGCAAAGGCAATCCCAAAACTTTTTCAGAGCGAAACAGGTCCCTGGCTCAGCTGAACAACACATACATGGTTGCCATGCTTTCCCCACCTGACAAAGGGGTTCGGCAAGCTCTTGACTCCTTAGGGCCGGTTGCTTTGGGAAGTGAATGCCATTTTAAGGGGGTGTCCGGTCCTCGGCCTAAGTTTCGGAGCATTCCCTGTTTCAAGAAACGAAGCCACGAAGGGCCCCAGAGCCAGGGGGCAGAGCTTGGATCAAATGGGGTGTTGCTTCATTCCGCTAATTTCGGTGCCGAAACGCAACACTTGCCCTCCCCACCAAGGTGGCACCTTTTGGATTCATAGTTGGTCCGAGGGTTTCCGTCATCGTCATTTCCCTCTGAAGCCAACAAGGACAAATCAAACATTGCGACGTCAGCCGATGACTTGAGCAAGGCACCCAACAGAAAGTTCCATTTGCCAACTGAACAGCTAAGACCAAAAGCGACGAAAGCAGCTTGTGATGCTGGCACTGCAATGGGACCTCCTTGTTTTGGACGGTCGATCCATGAGCCCAGTTGAGGGTTGGCTTCTAACCACACACCCCTGTCTCACTTCCTGAGTAGATTGAACAAAAAAGGTCCAGAAACTGGAAGGTGCAGTGCAGGAATCCGCCTGATATTTTCCTAGCAGGTGAGACGAATCCATGTGACCTGCAGCAAAACGCCTACCCATCAGCCATGCTTTCCCAGCATTGGTCGTAAGGAGATGCTTGCAAGGGGCCTCACTTCTCTTTCCTCCAAGCGCATGGATTTCCCAAGTTCCAGACCAACCCTGTCCATTTCTCCAAGGGCCCTTTGGACTATGTTAAACCAAGTGGCGATAGCCAAGGGACCGGGGAGCAACGCATTGTTCTCGCAGCTAGCCACTTGGTGGCAGTGAGAAACGGTTCCTGGATTCCAGGTTTCCAGGTTCTCGGAACAAAATGCTTGAGGTTCCAAACCTCTCGCTAAAAACAACACAAAAGCAACACCTAATCAAATCTTCCCCCCGCTCCAGATCCTTTGTCATTTGTGCTTTCTGAGTTGTTTGTGCGAACACCCCCCCCCCGCCGAGGTCCTCAGGATCCAAGTCCGGGTGCGGATCACCCAGGTAGTTGGGGGGCAGCTCATCCACCAGAGACTCCTATCTTCCAATTGCCCAGGCCGGTTGCAGAACGCCGAAGGGCCCCCCCCAGCCAGGAAAGATGCTCCGAACCTGGTTGGACGATTCTTACATTTTTTGTCTCTGCTTAAACTAAGTTCTGAAGGTTAGACGTGGAAGAAGGGTTGGCTGATCCATAAGTATCACGGTTGGGCGCCAACAATTGGGAGAGTGGTGACTCGGCGCCAGGGGCCTGTATCATGCAGGGCGTTTCCTAAGATATGGACAACAAGTAGGTGGGTTTTGCCATAAGTGGGTTTTGCCTGACGGGTGGGAAATAAACAGACCCCTCTAAATCCTGGGCTTCGTTTCTGCTAGATAGGGGTTGCCTTTTTGGGACATGTTGAAACCAAAACCCAGAATGGCAGCTGACAGGAAGGCGTGTGAAGATTATCGTCTTGGGATCTTGAGATCCAGCCACCGCCTACCAGGAAAGATGCAAACAAAGCAGTAAGGGAATTGACCGGGCCCCTCTGCTGCACTGGGTATATCGGACATGTTGTAAAATGCAGGGGTCACCTTCTACTTCCAACCAACAAGAGGGTCACCTTCTACTTCCAACCAACAACATATCGCCCATGAAAAAGAAACTCACAGTTGGCCTTTCCAAAACACGATATTCAAAACCACCTTAGGGGCAACATAGGTGGAGTCATATAGGATTGCCCATGTTCACAAATACAACAGGATTCTAGAACATCTCGGACAGCTCGGACGGCCTGATGCGCTTGGCTTCCGAAATTCTATCCGAACTTGCTCAAGGCCGTGGATATGGGGTGATGTCCAACAGTCGGGAATTGCCTTGGAATGGCATATGGAACCGGAGAATCTCCTTGAAAATGGGCAGCAAACCATCACTTCTCTATTGGCTCTTGATTCAGAAGCCCTGTACTGTCGTTCAGTGTGAAAAGAAGTCTGAAAAAACCAGAAACAAGACTCTCGCTTGGCCAGCAAGTAAATTTCCTAGAGCCTCGGGGCCCTCAAAAGCCCTAATTCTGTTAAACGATGCAGTTTATATCTACCAAAACGACAGATTGTCAATTCGAAACGGCTACCTTCCAGCTCCGAACAGCTTCGCACGTCCAGATAATCAGCTCATTCACAAAAGTGTAGAGGCCAGGAAAGAGGTCTGAACCCAGTCTGAACATGTCTGAATCCAGTCTGAGCCCAAACTGTTGGGGGGACATATCAGGTGGTGGGCTTCATTCTGCCATCTTCTGTGCCACATCTTGAGGTACAGGGTGTGATTGGGTGTGAATGGCACATCTTGAGGTGACGGGTGCGATTTGGGTACGACTTGTTTTCTTTCTTGCGCATCAGCTACTAACCTGCATGGCCTTGGCCGCCGGAGACCCCCTCCCCCATGTCCCAGATTTGACTGATTTCAGACTGGTTTCAGGCCTCTTTGTTGGCCAAGTGAGCAGTCGAAAGGGCAACAAAGAGTCTCCACCCTCGAACATGTTCGATTCCCTCAAAATCTACACCGCAAAGTTAAGACCCCCTTCTATTTTCTCATCCAGAGTCTCGGCGAAACCTGAGATTTCTTAACTCCACCGGCAAGTTAAGAAACCTTCAAGACTCTCGACAGTACAAAGGGATTTCTGATCACACAACATGATCGTAACCCTTCGCACTCCCCCTTTGTTTGACTGACTCTCCGAAATTGTCGCTCCTCGGTGGCAGATGGTACTGCCGGAAGCTCCTCAGTGTGGAAAGAAGATGGGAAGCTTTTCTGACAAGTCATCGACCAAGGCTGGGCCAAGTTGGCTTAAGCCAGGCTATAGACGAGCTATTGGAAGGGAAACTTAAATGACCAATGAGGATGTTCAAACAAGCGTAGTTTGGACGCATGCATTTGCAACATTGCAAACAGCAAAACGGAGACCATCCCAAACGATCCTCCCAGATTACAAAGCAAAAGATGACGGCTGCCTTGGGAACAGCTCAGTGAAACCCAAGGCCCCCCCCCCCCCGCCCCCCAGAGCATTGCCCCCCCGCCGGAACTCGATCCACGGCTCCAGGCCCCTTCAAGGGTTGCAAAAGAAAATCGCTCGAAAGTCATAGGCCTTCAAGCACATGGCGAGGTGACATTCTGTGGGAAGCCCCTGGCTCGGCGGACGTGTCCTCCACCCAATCTCAGGTTCCCGAATCATGTGCTGTGTGTGCTGAGGCCTGCGCTGACAATTTGCAGCGTCATCAAGCTTGAGTACAACTGGACATGCCAGCGGTATGAGAGTATTCATTGCACCGAAGGTAGAGCATTCCCGTGCATTTCAGTTGGGCCAACTGTTTGCTGACTTCACCTTTTGGTTGTCCAGGAGTACTTCGGTTGGGTCTTTCACACAATAGGAAACTAAGGGGGCCTTAACTGTCTGCTTTGATCTTGCAGCGAAGAAAAGCAGCGGATCTGGGTGACTCCTGCGGTGAACCTGGAGCAATTTCTGCACAGATCTCTCTGGTTTGCTTTTTGCAAACCTCCGAGCAAAAATCAACGTTCTTCACAGGCAACCTACATTTTATACCCCTTACAACACCACCCCGCCAAAAGAAAAAACACTTTTTTCGGCGCACCACTTGCCTCAGGGGGAAGTTGAGTATGTAGCAACTATGTAGTGGCTGTACGAAGGTGTTCTTTCTGGGTAGTGGCAATGATGAACGATAGCTGGGCTGCAAGAGTAGCTTAGGGCGTTTGTCTGCAAGTCTGTCTCCACATGGATTAAGCCCCTTTTTGGAATAAAAAACAAAACGGAACCTAACAGCAACCTGATGTTCCAAATTCCGACAAACAACCAAACATGTAGGGGGACCTCTTTTTCACTTGAGTGGCCCCAACACTAGGTGGCAGTGCCAAAAATGCCATGCAAGAGTCCCACACACAATTTTGTTACCTGAAGGGCATCCAATGGTTGATCCTGTGGGTTTCCTCCAATCAGATGGTGTGTCTGTTGAGGATGCTCCTTGGGGCCCGGGCGGGAGGATGCACCTCCTGACACGATTTGGGGCCTTGAAGCCTGTGCTTTCCTTGGATACCTTTGGAAAACCTTGGATCACCAACTCGTTTAACTTTTGCATAATCAACAAGAAGAAGAGGAAAAAACAGAAAAGAAAGATAAGAAGGATCGTAGTAAGGTCAATAAACCAGGAAGAAGACACAGAAGATCAAGAAGAAGAAGAAACAAAAAGAAGAACAACAAGAACCAATAATCAAGAATAAGAAAAGTCAAGTAGACGAAGACTTATGAAAATAAAGAAGAAGAAGCAGGAAGGAGCAAACTTTTCTTCTGCTTATTTTCATGCTTCTGCTTCCTAAACTTTTCAGTGCAAGTGTAGTAAAGAAAGTGCACTTTGGCAGGTCCAGCTCGATATCGCAACTTTTCAGTACAAGTGTAGTAAAGACAGCACACTTTGGCAGCTCCAGCTCGATATCGCAACTTTTCAGTACAAGTGAGGGAAATACACTTTGGCTGCTCCGGCTCGAAAGTCGCAACTTTTCAGTACAAGTGTAGCCAAGGAAGTACACTTTGGCAGCTCCGGCTCTAAAGTCGCAACTTTTCAGTACAAGTGTAGTACAGGAAATACCCTCAGCTGCTCATTTCCTGTCATAAGGGGCCCCGTGCACAAAACCATGTTTAGTTTGGTTGTCGTTTTTTTTTTTTGTTTTTTTTTTTTTTTTAAATAATCCTTTGTTTTTTCCGTAACCCTATCGTTTCGCATGCTTTTGGCACGTTCTACTGCACCTGTTGGTATGTCATGTCCAGCCCTTTGCATATTGGCCTTCCAGAGGTTTTCATAGACGCGCATTTGTTGTCTTCTTCGATTCTCATTCTTCTTGTCTCATTCTTCTTGTCTCATTCTTCTTGTTTATTCTTCTTGTTTCTTCTTGTTGTTTCTTCCTCTTCTTGATTTCTCTTATTATTCTTGATTCGTTCTATCCTTCTTGACTATTATTCTTATTGCTTCTTCCTCTTGATGTTTTTCCTCTTCCTCTTCTTGACTCTGTTCATCTTGTTTAAATATATTCCTCTTGATTCTGCTTCTTCTTCTTGTTCAACGGCGACTTGAAGGAGAAACCATGAGCAACTTCAAGCCAACCCATCCTTGTGTAAAATTCGCTTGTGGTGAAACAACAAGGACGCCATCAACGAAGCCAACCACCTGGTCGACGAACATTGGACATGACATGGACCCTTGTTGTGGATGGCGCTTGAAGGAAAACCGAAAGGACGCAGGAAAAGGCACTTTAGTGAACTCATGTTAGCTAAAACCAGATTGCCCCACCTACGCTGCAGTTCTGAAACCGCACTGCTCCACACCACAATGTCACTGTCTTGAAACCGCCGCACCGCTCCAAAACAACAATGTTGCACTCCTGACTTGGACAAAATGACTTGGTTTCTCCAAGAGGACAACGGAAAGTTGGCTGGGCCCCTGATTGCTTTGGGAAACCTTCGGTGGGCCACCCACGTCCTTCCCAAAACTAACTAATAATAGACGACCTCAAATTTTGGCAGTGTCTCTAAATGGGGCCCTGCCCCCCTAGATCTCCCCCCCAAAAACAGTGACTTCCTTTCGGTTTCCACAAAAGCAGACAAGAAAGATACTGTGGCGTCTTCCATCACGCAGTCTCTGCGTCGCATTTCGCCTCATGGAGCAAGGCGTTCATCTGCCGGAACTTGTCACTGGCCATGCGCAGCAGCACGTCGAAGCTTCTGGGCTCTTTCAGCCTCGAGTCAACCCAGGATTTGGGTGCGTTTTGTTGAGGATATATGTTCTAGGTTGGTTTAATGGGAAACCAAAGGACCTCAGCCATTTGTGAAGAGGTTCCCCCATGTTGACACTTGGAGGAAACATACCAAAGGCCCCAAGGGAATCTTCGGAAGCCTTCTCAGACTCTCGGGTTCTGAGGCTTCACTGCCCTTTGCCGACCCTGCCGACCCTGTAAGGAACCACCCACAAATAATGAGAATCATTGGAAGCCCGGGTGAGAACCTTCTATCCCCTTTTGTAGGGATCCTTCTTTCGGGGAACCCCTATTCGTCTCGAAGGCTTAAACATACGGGGTCGACAGTCCTTCCAAGAAGTCAGCAAAGGACACACTGCAGGATGTTTTTGTTGGGAGTCCTTTTTGGGCATCCACATCTCCACATCTGCCACATGAGTTGGCGTTCCGACCAAACACATCTGTACAAATGCCAACTGAAACATACTTTCTTTGCCCAGTGCCGTTTACCTGGTGAGTCACTCGCAGGAACTTCCGCGAAGGCCTATGGTGACACGCCTGGGATCCACTGGGCTTAGAGTCAAGGCGCTACAAACAGTTTATGCCAAAGTGCAGTCCCCGGGCTTTGCCTTTAAGATCTACTTCTGGGTGCTTTGTGGGGGAAAACCCGTTTGGTTGGTTTCAGAGGGAACCAGGCCCTTTCCTCAAATTTACGGAGGAGCTCCTGAACGATTCTTGAAACTATGAACTTCTGCGCAAGGCGGCAAAAGGGCCGGTTTGCCCCTTTCAGGTCCAGCCGTCCACTACAAATCTGCACCAGTAACCAGATCGTGTTGGGGGGGGGGGAGCCAGCTCACCCATGATGCTGGTCCTGCGCTAAAAAAATAATCCATTTAATCCGTTGGCGAGTTGTACTTATTCAATCAGATGAACGGCAAGAAGGCACGTTCTTCGGATGATAGTCACCAAGGCCCCCTTGTCGTGGGTGTCTAGCTCTTGGTTGCACCTTGATTTGACCCAACAATTCGATTAAACCGCGCCCTCCCGCATGGAAGTGCACAGGCCCTTTGAAATCGTTTCTGGGAAGGAACCGAGGCACTTTCAGGGTGACTTGGTTGAACATGTTTCCTCCCCCCTATGGTAAAGCGATTTGCTGAACACCGTATAGGGTTTGGTTGATAGCCTTCGAATGGTACACACCAAGTGCACTGGATCAAAGACCATCAAATGTGCATTTTGTAGATCTTCGTACCAAGTGAACGATGCCCCAAGTTTCAGGTGTACGCGCATGGACAATCAAGGAACTGGGAACGGAACTTCTGGATTGCGCACGGAAAGTAAGCAGTCACGGAACATCCTGGGGATGGGACCTGTTGATTCTCCCTTTCTTCGGATGCACCCTGGGGATGGAAGCTGCGGATATGCGTCTGGCAAGTTTCTCTGTGTTTCAGATGGTCACGCCTTGCGTTCTGCATCGCTACAGGGCCCACACCAGAGGATGGGTTCTTCAATTTCGATTGATCGGTCCCATGATCCCTGCTGAGAGAAAGCAAGGAGCATCCATTGTCAATCTAGCATCAAGCTGGTAGGGCATGGTTGGTGGGCCTTGCTGTCAAGAGGCCGATACGTCCAAGATATGCAACATACAATAAAGAACTGGAAGCACTTGACGTTGTTGGACTCGATAAGGGCTATAGGCTAGATAACGATCAGGTAGTCTTTAGCCCCTGGTATTACCTCCTCAACACCTTTTGAATCACATGCTGATCTGCAGAAAGAACAAAGCAAATGGATGGACAGGGTTCCCTATATTGGCCCCAAACCAACTTCTTCCCTACCAAGGGGAACCCACAAATGGGCCAACGAAAACGGGCAACATGGCCGAGCTATTCCTTTCAAGGGCCCAACAGCGCGAAGCCGGGTTTCCTTTTGGTTTCCCTTCAAAACCGCAGAACAGGGGGCACCCTAACCAAAAGAAGGCACAGACCCACATAGAGACTGAAGGCCCCAAGGTTACCGTTTCTCTGCGGCCCCGGCTCGCTGTGGCTCGCTGACTGCTGCGGGGACCTCGCCGACTGCTGCTGAGGCGCCCGTGCCAAGGTCGCAGCGGAAACAGGCGTGGAGGGAACATCTCGAGCCTTTGAGTTTGTTGTGCTTAAGTTTACCCCTTTTGGCAGTGTCCCCCGTCAGCCCTTCTGGCATTGTCTTTCAGGAAAAATGTGGTGTATGAGCACTCCACTGTCACAACTGACTCCAAACATGAGCATGCTCCCCTGATTACACTGCGGTTTTGTTGCCAGATCGCTGCCAAGAAAACCTTGTCTTGCTGCTTGCGCAGATCAAGGGCAGGGACCATCTAATGTCCCAAACAACACACCAGCAAACGGTAGCCTCTGAAACGGCAATGGAACTGCACGATTTGATCCTAGGCCCTTCAATTGTGGCTACTGAGTACCTAGCGATTGAGCGTGATCCTTTTGCCACCTTTCGGCCAGTTTCGAACACCAACAGGGAAAGCTGCACTTTTAGAGAATTATCCAGATGCTTTTCCAATAAGGCAGTCTAAAAAAAGGGGTTGTTGCCAGGTGAGGCAGCCCTAGTGATGGGCGGTTGCGCTTTGGCTTCCCTACAATTTGAAGACCGGCTGGAATGCAGTTGAACTTCTCTGAGCGCTTGAAAGAAGAATCCTTTTTGGAACTTGAAGACGAGCCCTGCGGAAGCGGCGGCCCCCCAAGCACAGCAACCCGAAATGCGTGATTGTTCCCCTTGGTTTCCAGTTGCGGCAACCCCAAAAGGGGAGCCACTAAAGGGGAGCCACGCCCAAATTCCACGATCAACACTCCCAAAGGTGGAACGGGAATCCCTATCATGGTCTAATGGTCATGAGACATTAACAACATGCTCGGACTACTTGCCCGACGTGACAATTCACAACATGACACGAGTTCCCAGAGAACTCGGGCAGAATGAACAATATCCAGGTGGGCCCTGTACTCCTGAGGATGTAATACTAAGCCCTTCGACTGATGCCTTCAAATCTTTTGGCTTTACGAGCCAGCTTAAGAACCTCCGTCACCCAAATGAAAGATCGCGTCAGTTGTGCCCAGCAAGCGGACGTTTCTCAGTGTCAGTGGATGCAACGTATGCGTTGCTTGGCCACACTGGGGGAATCGTTGAAACCAGCACCTTGAAGGTGTCGAAGGTGCTGCTGTGCCCTAACCGGATTGATCTCGATTTGCGGGGCCATGACAAAAAGGTATGTCAAAAGAAGAAGTCCAAAGGGTGAAAGCAGATGGAATTGCTTTGGCCAAACGCTCAAACAACCCGTCTACACCAAAACTCACCACAAAGGCGAATTGTCTCTTACCTCAATGATTCTTGGTCGTGGTTGAATGACCCCTCATCTGCCTTGCTTGACTTCCCCCTTGTTTGGCTTCCCTTCAAAGAATATGGTCCAGGAGTCTGAAGGTGAAACCTTTGCTCGTTAAAATGAGTGGAATGCGTGCAATGTCCCGCCCACCTTTTCCCCGCTTCTGCCCAATTCTCCGCGCGTCGGCCTGGGAATGGCGTCGCACGCCTTCGGCGTGCTGAGGTACATGCCTCACGTGCGCGTTCGCCAGCGGCAACCAGTGGATCCGTGGTGGTTGGTGGGAAATTCTCCAAAGGGATCAACGAGTGCCCCGAATGCGGCCAAGGCTACTCAAGGAGCATCTTGAGTTCAACAGGGATCTGCGGCAAATCCTTTCGGGACCCCTGGCCCAGGCTGCCTTGGTGATCTTCCGAGACACCTCGATTTTCTGGGTGCTCTAAACCTGGCTCAGCCATGGGTTTGCAGAGGCGCCTTCCGGACGACTGTTCTCTTGGAAAAGAGGTCTTTGCACTGCTGTGCTTTTTCAGGGGTAACACGCTCCAGACTCATGTCAGCTCCCAGCGCACACTTATTGACAACACCTGGCCAGGGCTGTGCCAATGACTACTTCTTCAGTAGGGAGTGGGGTTCTATGTTGAACTGCAGGGGGGGAGGGCAGGACTTTGTCCGTGCAAGAGGTTTGTCCCAAACCGAAGTAACTTGCCCATCCCCGAACGAACCCCGTCCCAAAGGATCCATTCGTGGATCGAGGCACTCTGGCCCCATGACCCCTCAAATAGTATGGACAAATTCCTGCACCTGATGGATGAAGCCCTAAGCCATGTACCAACTCTAGTAGAGAGGTTGGAAGAAGGGTGCCCTTTTTTTCTGTAGTCTATTTTAGCAGGGGAACCCTCCCCCAAAAAAAGAAACGTTAAAAGGGCACTACTGGGGACCTAGAACTGGTGCGTCGCTTGGCATTTTCTGAGGTCCTTGGATCCGTCAATGCCCCATCCAACTCCCGTGACTGAGGCGGCCGGCTGTGACTCCGCATTCGTGCGGAACTGCCTCGGCTTGGCAGTCCTCAACCCTCCCGCAACCGAATTCGAAGTGCACGGGCCACCTTTCCAAGAAACACGTTGTCTTTAAAGAAGGGGCCTGCGCACTTGTTTCTTTTGCGGAAGGGTGACATGTTGCAAGTTTGCGACTCAAACAACATTTCATAAGCTTCCATAGTCAAGGATCGGTCAGGACTTCTTGCTGGTACCCGAACATGTCAGGACAATGGGACTTTCTGGGAGCTCTTTCTGGTAGGTTGATACACGGCCTCCCTTTCTGAGATGACTGGCCAGAGTCTAGACTTGCTACCGCTAAAAACCATACTCGAATGCGAGCCATCCGATACGGATGGTTGGTGACATTGCCTGGGATCCTTACTGGAGATTGTGGGAAAAAAAAACCTAGGTGCATCCTTGCTTCATGTGCAAAACCCATGTGACTTGTCTATACGCGAACATAATCTACAATGTATATCCGTACTTGTACACTCACACACATCTGATCTCTATATATATATATGTATTATAATATAAATATATATATATATACAGACATACACTACATCCCTGTGCTGCGCCCGTCTTAGCCTTGCCAAGTCCAAACCACAAAAAGGCCATGTTCAAACCGAATGGGGCAACCAGCTGTGAACTGCATATTGGTCAACACATGGCAAGCGCTCACAGCAAAAGACAGGGTACAATTTCGGTGAGACAATAGTGACGTCCAACTAGTGAGGAGATTCCGCCATTGAACTCATAGCCAAAACACGCGGTTCCCCGAGAATGGACAGTGAGTCTCTCCACCCTGCCAAACTAAATTAGACCACTCTATATGTCTCAACCAAACCTCAGATGGACATTTGCTAAGTTGCTCTCAAAGTTCCAAGCAAGGCTCCCTCCATGCAAGGCTGGATGGATCCAAAAACACAGAAACGCACCCAGAGTTGACTGAAAAAAAAACGACATTGGGAAATTCACAGATCTAAAGGCCCCAAACACGTGCTTACCCTAAGGTCACCCTGGCTTCCCCAGTGACAGCATAAGGCCTTCCCAATGTCAAAAAGGAAGGGTTCTCTCTTGACCACGAAGTGAGACAAGTGTGCGTGTCTGGGGGTTGGCGTCCGTTTGTCTGTGTGTGTGTGTGTGCGAGTGCATGTCTGTGGGCGTGTGCGTGGGCGTGGGCGTGGGCTTGTGCGTGTGCGTGTGCGTGTAGGTGTAAGTGTAGGTGTAGGTGTGTGTGTGTGTGTGCCTGTGTGTGAGAGAGAGAGAGAGGGAGAGTGAGAGAGTGTGTGCGAAGGTGTGAAAGGTGTGTGTGTGTGTGTGCGGGTGTGTGTGTGTGGTGTGTTTCTTCAGGGCAACCTTGTTCAGCTTGGTTTGAAGGGAGAAACCAAAGGGAAAGACACCATTTTGGGGGTCCCTTTATTTTGTCGCACACCCACAAATTCCCTGATTCCCGCAGCCCACACAAATGAGCCTCTGTATGTTTCAGCACCGCTTTTGTTGGTCCAGGGTCCGCAGAGCCGCTATTGACATGCCGAGTTGCACCGGCTCTTGCACAAAGAGGATCAAGGTTTTCCAGTTTGCGGAGAGTGTGGCACCAGTTGGCATGGATGTAAAACTCAACCACCCAACAGCGAAATGTTGTCCATCACTACGCTCCTATCGGGGTTGGGAAGATGAGGTGCCTGGCAAGGCGCCATTGTTTCGCCTGGGAGGCTGCAGTGGCAGCTGTAAACCTCGCGCTGGGCCCAGTTGACCCATCAGGTGCCAAGAGGGACGTCCAAACCAGACGCCCAAACCAGTGACGTTCCATGCCAAGGCAATCAGAGGCAGAGGGGTCTGCTCAAAACCCATGATAAAGCATGGAGCGCCGCTTCTTGTTGCTGTTGGGACTGTGCCCTAGCTTTATCTACCCAGGTGTTGATCCTGGCCCAGTTGATCTGAGGACAATCACAATGATTTCAACAGACAAGTTGTCTTACATAGAAAAGCCCAATCTCAGGATGAATGCACAAGCTCTCAAAGAGTGCCTTGACAGTGGGAATGAACTAAATCCCCCCCCCCTTTAGATAGCTGCTTGTCGCAGGTGGAAGTGGTTGCTGGGTTCTGCTGTACAGCTTTTCAAGCGCTTCGCCACTTGCAATCAATCCGGCTGAATCATTGTGGTCCACCAACAACACAAGAGTAACGAACGGAACCTTCATAATTCAGCAAGGGGTCGCTAACAAAATCCTTTGTGACGGCGGCAATGGGAACAAGTGGGAACAACTGGCCAATCGTAAAATGCAAAATAAGCGCATTCAAGCGTCCTCTTGCTTTGACCTTGAAGCTTTTTCCACCACTGCCCTTGCACCAACATGGAACGTGACAGGCGGCCTCTAGAGGAACCTGGTCTTTCATGGGGAGGTTGACTAGACCAGCTTGGCGAGGCCCTGTTTGGGCATTTCATCACATCAGGAAATCAAGACATTGGGAAAAAAAGGGGCATATCAAATGAAGGACTAGTTGAAGATGTTGAAGCTGAAGTTCTGCAGTCGCACATCATGCGACGCATGCGAATTCCTTTTAGTTCATCGAATCGCCCTTCAAAGCAGCTGAAGGCGGCTGGGACCTGCCGAAGACCTTCGGAAGGAAGATGTTTACCCGGAGGGCTTTGGAAAAATACAGGTTCCCCCCCAAAAACAACAACACATCAAACAAAAAAAACAATATGTTGGAGGATGCGCTCACCTGGGCCCTTTTTCAAGGCCATGGAACAGGGCACTCGATCCGCCATGGGACCCGCTTCCGCACTGGTCCATTGGCAACCCTTGGCCCCGGTCCCTTGTACAGCGGGTTCCCCTGTAAATTGAACATCCCAGGAAGCCGATTTTCAGGCACTTGGGATGGATCGCGCCATGCTGGGATCATGAACCTACCGGATCCAGTCTTTATGAAGCCGGGAATCCATGAAACAAACAGGGAAAAGGGTGCCACTGAACAACGGCGGCCCAACAAAAAGAAAAGCAGTCCCTCGAAAACACATCCCAAACGCGTGGTTGGGCAATATCTTTTCAGCTGACATCATTTCCGTTGGTTTCAACATAAAGGGATCCCGCTCTAAGGTAGATTCTCAGGACATGGAAATGTAAGCTTAACCTTTTGGGCTGACGCGTGGAAGAGGGCAACATGCAGAGCCGAAGGAGTCAGCGACTCAACGAGCGTATCCGATTTGCCAGGAGGCTGGGAAAGCTCCGGCCGCCGAGGAAGAGAGGGCTCCTTGGGCAAAATCCCGGCGAGTGGCCCTCCTGGAAAATAACCCGTCCCATTATTACGGGGGTGTTCCCTCCAACAGTGATAAATCCCCACAAGGGGACACCCCCCTATTGATCAATCAGAGATCTATTAATCCGGGGTTAACATTAGACCAAAGGAGATCCTTTGTGGTTGACCTTTTTGGGCACGGAACGCAACAAACGCGTAAAACAACTGCCACTGAGCGGGTCAAGTCCAATCATGGAAAGGGGCCCGGAACCTGGCCCTTGGCAATCTCGAGTCCGAATGAAAACCGCGCTGAACCTTTCCTCTGGCAACAACACCCCGCACTCCAGGGAAACGGCTTAAAAAGTAAGCCCTTGTTTTTTTGTTGACTTTTGGATGACCCAAGCGTTGCAATCGGGGCCTTGGAGTTTACTCCTGCATTGACTAGGAGTGGGGTCTGGCCTGAAAAGGAAGCGTGGGGGCGGCACCAGCACACAACCCCAACTTTTTGCCCCTGCTTCAGCCCACAACCCTTCCTCATCTGACCCAAATGCAGTCGGCCTCCTATACTGTAGTTTCCCAGTCAGCATGCTCCCACTAAAGTGAAACTCTCATTAAATTAGAGCAAAAGGCGATATCAAGACTCATCATCAAGAGAACATAGGCCCGAGTCGGCCAGAGCTCCCGCTCAAACTGAGTCCATAAGCGCCCTGCGCGCGCCCAACTTTGCTTCCACCTTGGCGCGCCAGCAAGGCTTCAGATTCGACAACCCTTTCTTGCGGAAGATGAGGAAGTTCTCAGCGAAGTGAAGGGATATGCTCATGAACAACAGGGACTTTTCAGCGAAACGACGATCTTTTTGCGGGAACAAGGAACTTGTTGACGCCGACTCGGCATCCAGAAACTTGGCACTCACCACAGGAAGCGAGTTGCGTCGAAGTGTACTGGACAAGCGCCCGGGGGGGTTTCTGCCCAGGGGATGGGAAACAATCGCGAATCTGACCTGTACGATTTGTTTGAATTCAGGAATATGACCCTGCCGAAGTAAGGAACTAATCTTATCACGTACATAATTCTTGAACTGAGTTCAGCTTACATTCTATGTAAGGAACTATGATGGGGCCCGGTTACCCTCCAAGCCTTGCTTTGTTTTGTACCGAACCCATCTCACAGGTAACGAAGGGTAAGTGCTCTTTGATTAGCTTGATGTGAGCCGCACTAGGCCCCGTGACTTTCCGAACGCAAGTCACGCAAAGCGCAGCGCCCTCCATGCACTCATTCAGAGTCATACGCGGAGCCATGGGAAGTTCACGGTCAACGGCCTTCATTTTCCTGGGGTTCTTCATGAACCTTGAACTAGCTTCTCTCTAATTGGTGGTTTGGAACCCGGTGGTTTGGCGGTTGAGAAGGGGTTTCCCATTTATCCTCTTCAAGAACCATGGGTGGAAGCAAAGGGACAAACAAGAATCTCTCAGCTCTACTAACAGCGGCTCGCGAAGCATCTCCGCAGCAAGCTCCCAGGTTTTCACAAGGGATTCCACTGGGTACCTCAGGAAGTCAAGGATTAACGGTTGCAACACCAACTACAAAGCTTATGAAGGTCCACTTGCAAGGACCAAAGCTCTGTCGGTGTCGGGGTCCTTGGTCCAGTTGCTCCGGGCGCCACTACTCTCGCGTGCGAGCACAGGCAAACTGCGAAGGGGCAAGAGGATGACGTTGGAAGTGTCCCATGTCCCCCTCTTTCGGCGAAGCTTATGAGTCCACGGTTCCTTACCGAGCTCAGGAGTGAACCTTGTAATTAGTCTCTCTTTCCAACCTTTGGCAGTATTGTTCAACACTTTCACATGGGCAGGGATGCAATGCCAACATGCATTTATCCATGCGTCTCTGGGTGGTCCTGATTTTTTTCAAAAGGCCAAATTGCATGGTCCAAAGCCCCGCGCTCCAAAACAATGCTGCCCTGCGATGGATTCCAAAAACACCATTCTTCTGCGAAGGGGCGCGTTTTGGTCCTTAATAATTCGTCATAGGAGAATCATACTCAGCATGCAATGGCTACAAATCCATACGGTGACTTCACTGACACCTCGGGCTCTCACTCGAAAATTACAGCGAGGTGCCGTGCCACATGCATGGCTGTAAGTCAGTGTTGGGGGGGGGGGGGGTTGGGACCATCCCCAAGAACTGACTACCTGAGCTCTTCCGCTCTTGCCCAACGAAAACTATGGTGCAATATATGTAGTAAATCTCTAATAACAAGACAATGGAAAAAACACGAGATCTCAGAATCCGCCGACTTTGCTTTCCGCTTTGTGGTTGGCCCTGGCTGATATTGGACACGAACTTCTCTGATGACTAACTTGAGAGCCCGAACTTCTCTAACCTCTAACTTCGCTAACGCCCAACCGAACCTCCAACTTCTGCAATCGTGGGCTGAATCGTGACTTCCGCCGGCTAAACGGGCAGATTAGTATGAGTCAGCCTTGCCGGATAGGCTCGCTCCTCCCATTCGAGCAATTCTAGGAGCTGTCTCCCTCGAGGTTTCCATGTTGCCTGGCCGTTTTGCAATTCATCGCTTGCCTAATCTGATGTTTTTGGGGGGAAACTCACACAAACCCTAGAAATCCCATCCAAGTGGCACATCTCTAGAATCCCATTCTTTGTTGAACAAGTGACTCTATAAGTCCAATGTTTACTGCCTTGTCCTCAGCCAAGCCCATGTGGCGAAGAGAGAAGGGTTCAAATGGAGACTCCATTCCTGAAAACGACGGCTTTGCGGGCTCCAAGTGAATCCGGGGAGTCAATCAGGGGGGTTGTTGCCAAGACTTGCAGCGTACTTCGGGAAGTGAAATATTTAAGATCACGCGCGAGTCAGGGCAAATCAGAATTCACCGGGGTAAATCGACTTAAAAATACCGAGTACCCTTCCATCCATCGGGGAACCTGACGGGGAAGGGTGGGATCTACAAAAGCTTCCTGAAGGGATCAATTCTCCGAGGCGAGCACTTCGCGCGCCGGCCCGTTGCAGCTGCCCCTGGATCGCTGGAAAGCTTATGCTGGGGGAAGCTCAGCAAGCGGACAGTCCGCTTGACATGAGCACGTGTGTTTTGTGGGGAATCGCCGTTGTGAGGCTGGCTTCGAATAAACAAAAGGAACCTAGATGGGTCCATTTTTGCAGGAAAATGCAAGGTTCTTCTTTGCTCATGGAGAATACCATCTTAATGAAGTGTAGTACTTGTTTGGGTTGATGATAGGGTTGTGAATTTTGACACATACTTATTTCTTTTGGTTGCGGCCCGCAGCAATTGTCTTCCATTGCGGGAAGCCGCCCAAATGACTAACTCTTCACTGAGAGGGGGGCAAGGGTTCCCTGGAGTCATTGCCATGACAGATTCCTTCCACCTTTCTGGACGGGTTGAAAGGCAAGCCACAAGGACACCCCCCCCATCCCAATTTTTGTTGAGACACATGCACATCGCGACCTGGAAGGCCCGATATCATGAGCCAAAGGCCTGGGTCCAGAGTGTGCCTTTGAAACACGAGCTAACTGGCCAGAACATGAGTTCAAAAAGACTTTTGGCCTTGTCCGAAATCATAAAGACATCTACCAGGACAGCAAACTGAAGTTTGCCAACTGGAAAGGCAAGCATCTTCTCTTGTGAGGGGGCATCCTACTTTTCACGGGTCAAGTAGTTTTAAGACAGCTTCCAGGTCGCAAGAATCCGATGGACAATTCTGTGGGAAACAAAAGGGGATGGACCAACAACCCATTTGACCTTGGTCGCCAACCACCTCTGTTTAAAATTCAAGTCATTTACGTTCCTCTTCAAGCAAGGCGGTGCTTTCTTCTTTGAGCCCATATTGCCCAACCTTGCGCGAGTTGAGTACCTTTGGCGGTTCAGAAAGAGGCAAGCCAACTTCTATCCGGAATGAAAAGGTGGGTTTTGGGAGCTGGGTTCCACATACATGTACATATATATATATATATAAATATAAATATAAATATATATATATATATATGTACAAATACACATATATATATATATCTATCTATCTATCTACATATATATATATATGTACATAGATATAGACAATAGCATACACACCCATTCTTTAGGCCCAGCCCCGCCAAGCCCGGGTTCTTCACCCCCGTTGCCCGCGCCTCCACCTCCAGCCACACAGAGCCCCGGTTCCAGCGGGCCTCCCGGCCTGCCAGATGGCCTGATCGGATGGCACAGGGTCTATGGGCCTGGTCTATGGGGCTGATGGTATGCACAAAGCAGTTGTTGGCTTATCCCAATGTCCCTGGATTTGGTCCATAGCACCTGTAGGTTGGCTTATCCCCATAGGATGTCGATGGGGGGGAGGCGCTGACTTGGTTGCCATTATGATGGTTAAGCCACTACTTCGAGTGTTTTACTGGGATATACTACCAATTTGTAGCCACTACAGCTACTAGATAAAGGGTTTATAAACCACTAACAGTTGTTGGCTTATCCCAACAGGATGTCAATGGATTTGGTCCATAGCAATAGGAGGGCAACTGATCGATTCTTCCCCTTGAAGGGACTGTCAGGTGCCGTGCTACGAGGGTAATTAATTAGGGCCAAAAGCCCCCCCCACCGCCCAGCCTTATTCGACGCCAGGGCTGATGAAACGAGGCTTCTTGAATATTGAATACATATACCCCGGCCCCCGCACACACATGACATCTGACTGAAAGGGGTGGGTGCGAGGACAAGAGGTCTGGAAACCATGGCACAAATGAATTTGGCAAAGAATGTGCTTAAAATCAAAGATGCGGATATCCCATTCAAATGGAGCCTGAAGTGCAGAGTTCCTGCCACTTTCTCTGACTGGCGGACCACGGACAGGAAGCTCAAACTGAAGAAAGAAAAGGCGACGTTTGGCGAGAACATGCTCAAAGAAAACTGGTTCAGAAGTTGTCTGCACAGTGTCGCGCATAATTCAACCTGCGTCCAAGAAGCTATGTTCCACCTTGCGCATATGCCAAGGTGATGCTTCAAATGCCCTGACACAGGCAACCAAAGGCTAACCAAAGGGACTAAAGGCCCTTTTGGGGACCAAAGGGAAAAAACCAAAAAAGAAAGATACGGGTGATGGGTCCCTGGTGTCGAACGCAACGGCCTCAACGGCCCCATCCCGCTCTCGGGCTCTCGCCTCCCTGAGCCGCACCGAAGATCAGGCCGCACGACCTGGCGCCATGGATCCGCGGAGCCAGTGCTCGTGGGCCGCGAAGTGATGAAGTGATATGAATCTCTACGAGTCGTCCGAAAAATGTGATTGAGGTCCTATTTTGGTTTCCTTTAAACTAAGCAACCAAAACCGGCCTGTTTTTTTTTTGAGACTTTTTGGGAGCTTCTGCGACATGTGGCCAAACAACATGGCTGCTTTTCTTTGGCTTCTCACTCAAACACCCCCCTAAAAAGGGTGTCTTATTCTGGTACATTCCGTTGGGGGTTGCGACCTTTGCAGTGAACCTGGTGGCCAAGCGGGGTTCATTTGTGATCCGGACAAAGAGAAAACGGCCACAACTGGAGGGACACCCACGCCCTCTTTGGTACAAGGGGATCCCCTCAAAGTGGCGGTTTTCCTTTGGCTTTTAGGGGCACCCTACCCCATCCCCAAAGAGGCCTCAGCGTTGTTCCAACCCAAACCAACCCATTCACGCGTCACTTGGGTGGGCCTTAAAAAGCTGGCGCGCGAAAATACCCCCAAACAAGCAAACAAGAAAACTCACAACGACAAAGCAACAACAAAAAAATACAATAGCACGAACCAAAGAGACACACAGTCAAACAAAACAAAACACAACACACTTAAACTCCAGATGGAGGGTGCTAACCTTTCGAGTACAACTGATGAGTCTCGAGTACAACTGATGAGGCTCGAGTACAACTGACAAGTCTCAAGTCGGATAAGGTTCGGTTGGCAGGTCACTTGGCTTCACTCTAGTGTCGAAAACGTTACAAGGTTCAACATGAAGCACACACAGCGGCAAAAGAAGCGGCCAACTGGACTTTCATCAACATCACTTCACAAAAGCAGGCACACACGGGTGATCAATCCGTGCATCCACCATCAAGCATAGCTTCGTTGGCCAGCGTTTGCTTGATGGCCGCTGGCCCCCTGCTACTAATTGTGGTGACAGGGTATTCTGCCACTCCGCACACACACACGCCCCTCAGTGAGGGGCGAGAAGTCTCTTTTTCAGCAGGAAGATCACATACTCAACTGCGTATCTCTATCGTTTACCAAAATATCCACAGCGGCGAGGAGAACGCGAAACTGCCCGAAGCCGCTCAGAAGACGGGAACGAAAGATCACCACGATGAGCATGACGGGTGTCGCCATAGAAGACCGGAGGAAGTTGCAAAGCAGTCGAGCGATCACCGTCAGAAATAGGGGGGGCATAGGTGAACATCTCCTCGACTCGGATTATGTCCGAATTCTGCACGTCAACAAGTGATTGATCCTGGGCTTGATGAGTGGAGAAGGACTCAAAGCGAGAAAGAATGCGTTGGTAACCTTGATGCTGCCAGTCGCGAATTGTCCACGCCTGACTGTGTTCACCAGTCCCACCAATGGGATCAGTTACCCGCTTCCACTCCCGAAACGAGTTGTCTGGTAGGTCAGGTACGGCTTCTTCTGGTTGCCACAGCTGAGGTTGTCCCGGAGTATAGATCCGCACCCACTCCTGATCCTGCCAGACTGAATATTCGAGCCATGGGTGCTGCTCAGCGGTTCGGCCCGACGTCTGAGTTGCATCCTCGATGTCCATGCCGAAGTGAAAGACAGGGCGTACCGCGGGTTCCGATCCAGCTAGCAAAGAAACAGTCACCATGCACAACCATGCACAACCAGCAACTACACAAGAAAGCACGAGCATGAGAAAGCACCCTTTTGTGCCATGATCAACACACATCAGTCTATTCATCATTTAGCTCGAAGATAGGCTTCTCCTTGGTGATGGAGCTGCATGGTTGGGTCGTAGGTAGATATGGATCAGAGACCCCAATAGACTCAGGTGGTTCAACTCCACGAGATGCACGTACTGGTTGGTGCTGATGGGACGCTTGACGCGCGCGATCCGACAGTTGCTGAGAGATTCCCATCTTGAAGACGAGTGAGATCCTCAGTGGAGAAAGCCGCAGCATCCGATGATCTAAGAATCGCATTCAACATTTGCGGTGACATACACGAAGCCGATGATTGCGTGGCCACGCTATGTTGATCAGGAAAAGACATCGAATTGAAGCCGTGAGCAGCTTGAGGGGCAGCGACTCGCCGGTAGCCCTCTGTGGCCCAGTCCCTTTTGTACCAAATGCTGTTGTTGGGCTGCCCGCCTTCTTGGTCAAAATTTGGGACACAGAACTCCTTCCACTCTCTGTATGTATGGGGCGGAGGCGGATCATCACGTTCGTCCTGTGGAGTCCATGATCCCGGATGAAAAATCTTGACCCATTGAGCATCTGGTTGTTGAGGATCCGGACACCACTCCAGCCACGTGTGGCATGACAACTCAAACCCGTGATGCAAAATCGAGAGGTGCACGGCTGCAGACTACAAGCGCTACATGTGACAGAACAACAAACATGCAAGCAAACACTTTTGTAGCAAGGCGCGGCTCAGGTGTCGAAGTCACTCGCCCCAATCAAATTGAATATCATGGAAAGACGAGGACGAACATCAGCCACCATCCGAGTTCGAGGATGCCGACGAAGAGGACAGCCCAGCGTACATGAGGTACGTGCAATGTTGGGGCGCGGATGGCCGAGCCGTTGATATCCTCTGGTGACCCAGTCACGATACTGCCATGTGTAAAAGGATGCATATGAGACCGGCTGGGAAACAGAGCCCAAAGTGGTGCCTCCTGTGCTGTCACTAGGCCAACACACGTCGAAGTGGTAGAACCTGCGCCATTCCCGATAGGTTGTTGTGTCATCCGGAGCCGGTCCCAAGGTGGATTCGGCGACTGCGCAGGGCCATTGACGATGTCGTACTCAAAATAGCGTGGTAGGGACCATCTTGCAGTGCCACATATTGTGGAATTGAACATACCAACCAGATAAGCCGCTTTGAGGCAAAAGGGAGCGGCGAAAACATGGAGAAGGAAAGCACAACACAAGCCAAGACAACCCAAGTTGATGCAGCAATCAAATCAGGCACAATCGCATCGTTTTAACCGACATGTTGCTCAAGCATCAATCCGATTCGTTCCAATCAAAATTAGGATCATAGCTCGGTGGGGGAGAAGGTTCCCGCCACGCCCCATCCGGAACTGAAGACTCCGACGAGGAAGTAATTTCTTCATTCACGAGCTCCGTCGATCCCATGGCTGGTCGTGGATTGCCAAGGCGTTGATAACCTCGCGTGTTCCAGTCTCGGAATTCCCACACGTGATATGACACGTACGACATGGGCATGACATTGGGGTCCGCAGCTGTCCCCCCGGTGCTGTCTGCGGGCAAGTACACGTCAAAGTGATATGACTTGCGCCACTCCCGATACGTGGAAAGGTAGTCCGGGGCACGTCCCAGGGTAGCTGTGGCCACAGGTTGCCACGGGCCCGGTGTGTAAATTCGAATCCACTCCACGGTACATGATAGCCAAATGTGTCGTCACAGTGCTGTTGAAAGAAAGCGCAAAGCCAAGGAATCTGCGGCGAAACACTCATGCCATGACAACCCTGACTGCAATGTGAATGTGTTGAGCAACGCAATGCAAGGCAACTTTTCAAACTGAAGGCGGGACGAATCAACAAAGTCTGTAGTGTACGACAACTATGATTCACCGCCGCTGATGCCGCACACACCTGCAATGGTAATGTCCTGGTCGGCGACGAGCACAGGGAGAAAGACACTTCCGTCCATGATGTAGAAAAGCATGACAGTAATGCTTGCAACTTGTCGATGCAGACCGAGATGGACGAGTAGCCCGTTTTGAAGGGAACACAGTGAAGGGTCGCCGAGATCTCCGCATGACAGAAGCGGATGTTGTTCGAGAGCGTTTTGGAGAACGCGTGAGACTGCGTAGATCATCATCACGGAACTGGTCAGCGCTGCGTACCGAGCGGCGTGTGCGCTGAGATTTCATGGTGGCCGGGCATGACTGTCCACGAGGAGAGGGGCTCGAGGAGGCTCGCAATGAGGGCATAAACTGTGGGTGAAGAATCACTGGTGGTGGTGGTGGTGGAGGAGGTGGAGGTGGAAGAAGTATTGGAAACCGTGGCGGGGTTGGAGGTGAAGCAGTCAATCGAACTGGTCTGTCAAGCAATGTACCAGGCCCGTGAAACTGTAACCACGTCGGCTGCGCTCCATGGGTCCAAGTTATGAATGTCTGCACATCTTGCTCCAACATGATTTGAACACTCAAACCCGCAAGTCGAAGAGATAAACGCGGTAGCAGCTCTGCCATGCATGATATCCAAGTCATCAACAACTTTCATGACAACCAACAATGCCCTCAATGTCAGAAATGTCATGGAAAGACATTCAAGTCCTCACTGCAAAGTATGCCAGCCATGTCATGCAAGCAAGTGAGAAAAGAATCATGCGATCTACCATGTCTGCAATTCAAACCATCTCGTCAACTTGCAACGCTCACGGAATGCACTGCCACCTTCCGGGAGTCTTTCGTTCTCTCGATGCAAAGTGCCCTAAGCGCGAGCCTCAAGCTGCTGGTAGACCTTCCAGGCTTGCTTGACTTCCTCTGTGGGCTTCTGAAGGAAACGGGCAATGGTTTTGTAGGTGGGCCTGGAATCCTTGTCCTTTTTCCGTCTGACCATCTCATCTAGTTCACCCTGTGTCCATGCCGTGAACGGTTCAGGATGTGCATTGCGAAGGGCAATAGTGAATTCTTGTAGAAGTTCACGAGGTCCATGAACCACCGTGGGAGATGGACGGAACGATGAAGCACCTGGATGTGGACGAACTGAACCATCCGAATCCGAATCAGGTGTGGTAGGCGATGCCTGTCCTGGTTCACGACCGCTGCGAGGGGGAAGGGGAGCAAGAGGTCTTGGCGGTGGTAACCGATCCAACATTGTCTCCGGACGGCGACCAGAAGTGCTGTCAGTGGCATCCCGATGTGCCGCACGAGGCGGGGATAGTGCAGGTATATACCTGGTGGAGGAAGTATCCACAGGCCGGGTTCGGATTCGAGTAGGAGTGCGAGACCGATCGGACGAGATGCG